CATCACTAGGGTGAAACTCCAACATCATTACTCTTTCCCTTGGGTGGTAACTCACAGCTGATCAGCCGACACGCTCTTAAACCTTCCGTGGCTTTCGTGGTACAGAGTTGGGACGAAAGGTGTTATGGTGTTGCGGGAAGGTCTTCGGACAACCGACTCACCTGCGATAGGTCGTGGGTTCAATTCCATGCGATGGTATTGATCGGTAAAAGATCCCTTCATAAGGGATACAGCTTTATGCACTCGTATTGATTCGTGTTCGGGGGTAAATCTTGCAATTTTGCAATTCCTCAACGCTCAGGTTTTCATTTGTTCATGCGAATAGCCCTAGTATGCTTCTTCTCTAACGCTATAGTTTTGGTTCTACTTCTGCTGGTGGCCATAGCCACTGCGGGGAAAACTGCACATAAGAAGAGGGATCCGGATGTTGGTAGGAGGTCCCGGGTTCAATTCCCAGCAACTACATCTTTTCCGACTCAGATAATATGGAGGAGTCTACTGCATTAACGGTGAATGATGACGATGATGATGGGAAGGGCCCGTGGAGTCGGCTAGAAGCTCAATACCATCTTTTCGTGAAGTAAGATTGGATTCGTGCATAGCTGGTCGGGTAGAGTCGGGTGGAGTACTCTTGTGCAGAGTTGGAGTAGGAATATATGTAATCGCTTTCCTCAGCTGAGCTCGGGAGTTTCCTATACAGTGTTGGAATAGGAATATATGTTCGCTTTCCTCAGCTGAGCTCGGGAGTTTCCTATACAGTGTTGGAGTAGGAATATATGTTCGCTTTCCTCAGCTGAGCTCAGGAGTTCCCTATACAGTGTTGGAGTAGGAATATATGTTCGCTTTCCTCACCTGAGCTCAGGAGTTTCCTATACAGTGTTGGAGTAGGAATATATGTTCGCTTTCCTCAGCTGAGCTCAGGAGTTTCCTATACAGTGTTGGAGTAGGAATATATGTTCGCTTTCCTCACCTGAGCTCAGGAGTTTCCTATACAGTGTTGGAGTAGGAATATATGTAATCGCTTTCCTCAGCTGAGCTCAGGAGTTTCCTATACAGTGTTGGAGTAGGAATATATGTTCGCTTTCCTCACCTGAGCTCAGGAGTTTCCTATACAGTGTTGGAGTAGGAATATATGTTCGCTTTCCTCACCTGAGCTCAGGAGTTTCCTATACAGTGTTGGAGTAGGAATATATGTTCGCTTTCCTCACCTGAGCTCAGGAGTTTCCTCAGTGGTTTTAGAAGTTTACACACGACTTGGGATGGAAATTTACAGCAACCCACAAGAATTTTCCAAAATTTTCCTGGGAATTTCCATATTGTCACCAACACATGTAGTTAACAATACGACTATGGACTATCGAACGCTTCTAAAACGAATTTGTCAATGGATTCACATTGTTATCATGCTGACTTTCGAACTCTCAAAAATTGAAGGCGTTGAAAATTTTACTTCGTATAACGGTTTGATTTTTACTGTAGGTCTTGGTTCAGATCACCATGTGCATATTTTCTCACACTGCTGTTCTCGTACTAGCTTGTTATTGTTAGTATCTTCTTTCCACTGTACTGAGCCTCCTCGTAGACTTCTCAGTGCGAGCGGCGTAAGTATCCCTATTCAGATTGCTCGATATCGCTATACCGGTGATGGCTATGGTATTCGGAGTTTGCTTTTTCATTGAGATGAACGTCCTTATCGATGCTAAGGACCATGGATCGATGGCTGATGTGGCGTAGGTCAGGAGAAGAGAAGGCGGACGAATGTGACCTTAGTGGTGACACCGCGTAAATTCGAGTCACCGCATCGATCCACTCGTGTTTGTATGAAGAAGTTGGCTTTGGGTGGGAATTTACATAGTTCCACCTCTCGTCCTTGTGAGAACTCGACGAATTATAACATTGGCGATCGGTATGATCGCATGCATCACGCTTGATACGGAAACAGTTGATATGGAATGTGATCTATTTTGGTGGGGGAGTCATGGTTGTCTACTTACATCCGAGAGGTCCCTGGTTCGAATCTATCTCGGTGTATTCATATATTCAGTTACGTTCCCGTATCCTCCATTGGGAACATCCTCCTTGCGGAGAAGGCAGCGGAAGCAGCCTGGGTGCCCCCCAAGACTGTGAGTGTGGAAGTGGATCTTCCGCTCAAACATGTGACATTCCCGCCACACCTTGTGAGTGCGGTAGTTGTGAAATTGGAGAAGAAAATCGCTTCGCTCCGCTGTTTAGATACTCGTGAACTGCAGCAGCGCAAACGCTGAT